TGTCATAGAAGGAGATGGGATGCAGAGGAGCGGGAGTTGGTGGGGTGATGACAGTCTCGGGAGGACAAGAAAGAAAAAGGACAGGAGAGGAAGAAGAGCAGAAAAGGGTGATTAGATGACGACGGGGAGAAGGAGGAGGAGAAGAAGAAGAAGAGGAGCATAAACGGGATGGGGCTATGATAGCAGCGGGAGGAGAAGGAGGAGAATGATGATGATAATGATAATAATAATACAAAAAAATTATAATAATAATTTACTTCTGGCGGAAAATTCACTGCACCAAGGTTTACTTCCTGGTTATAGTTTTCAATTATTACAACTGTGAGTATGACGTTAAAAACTGCCGACGGAAACGAAACGAACTTTGTAACGAAAGTTACAAGCGAAACTGATGTTATAAAGTTCTTCTGTTATTGTCATCCTTGTTGACTTCTTGCTCATACGGACAGCTAGCGGTCTGGTTGATCATGTTCGCTCTGACTGATGATCATCTTCTGTACGGCAATGTTGAGTATTTTGTGTATGTCTGCTGTTTAAATATTGACAACATTCATGTGATTATTTTATTTGAAATCTTTCTTTGCTTTCTTTTGTCCTACTGCATTAACCGTGAATCCCCGCAGAGAGGAGGTTAGATATAGTTTCAGTCTTTTGCTAGTTGCATAGCTCGCGTTTATGTCATTTTGCGTTATTATGATGCCTCTTTTACTTCTTCCATCCACGTCTTTCTGGGTCCGCCTCTTGACTTGTAACCTGCTGTTTTCATATACGCTCTAGCCGCTGTCTGATTTTGTTTTATTCTGACCAGATGATCAGACCATTTGATTCTTTGATGTTCTTTGAAATGACATACCTGTACAGTGCCTTCCATTTATTTGAAACATTCATGACAAATTCCTGCGTACCTCCGTGTTTTTGCGGTGTGTCGTAAAGCAGCGTTTCTCAAACTGTTTTCACTGCGGCACTCTTGTCAGGCAAAAAGAGTTTACGCCACATTTACTTTTAAAGCAGCTTGAATATTTAGGAAAAGAAGGGGGGGGGGAACCAATGTAAATGTAATGGTACTTTGTCTTTTATGCAGTGAATGAAACTGTTTGGATGAATCTTTTTAATTGTTTGCTTTATTTGTATGGGAAGTTGTTAATTGTACCCTCAAATCACTTGAAGGTTGCTCGTATTGTTTGTTTTGTTTTGGGTAAGTGTATGTTGAGAAGGCCTTGCAGCTTTGGCAGTAGCATTGTTTTCTGAATACACCTGCATCCAGAACTCTTCTCGGCTTCCCTCGTGGTATTTCTGTTTTCAACTGCTGTCTCCTCAAGCAGATTTTGAAAAGTTCTTTTTTAATGCCGCGGCACCCCTGGCATAGCCCGCGGCACCCCTGGCATAGCCCGCGGCACCCCTGGCATAGCCCGCGGCACCCCTGGCATAGCCCGCGGCGCCCAGTTTGAGAATCGCTGACGTAGATGGTCTTAGAACTGGGTTCCGTGGTATATGGGGATGCAGAGATATACACATTTTCGTTACTTCTTCTGGATGTAGATATGTGTGCACGGAAAGTCCTTTGTCACTACAGGTTGTCCATATATGGACATACAAGTTCTCCTACCGCTACACGATGGTGACACGGGGACACACCATGCCACTGCCGCTTCAAGATGGGAAAGGCTGGGAAAGGAGAAACGCCACTTCTCTACACAAAATGGAAACATCAGTGCATACAACTTCTCTAGAACTTCAAGAGTGTTAAAGTGCAATGTTCTGGGTGTGGGTTCTGGGGCCTCATTACGCGGGAAAACAAGAATAGACCCACTGTCTTGCTTACAAGCATGTCGTAAGAGTCGACATTAGGAAAAAAAAGACGCGTTTTTTTTTTTAAATTTCTTGAGCAGTTTGTACATCTGTCGTAAAAATAATTGAAAATAATATGTGAACATGCGCCCTTAATTATAAAGAACACATTTTGACCAAAACGTATCACCATATTTTCTGTTTGCCTTGTTACTGAATATGTTGTCCTTCTCTTGTTGTTGTTGTTGTTGTGTTTGGAAGATGGAGGGAAAAGGATTGTCGAAGCTTTGCCATATACTCGGGGAGGGGAGTGGGGTGTGGTGCCTTACCATATATTACCCAAAGGGGGTGCGGCCTGAAAAAGTTTAGAGATAACGGTATTAGCGAGAAAAGGGTTAAATGAACTATTTATAATTTACTGCAGACTTCATTTTTGCGCATTTAAGCCGCGGCGGTTTTATGTGACTTATCTTGAAGTGTAATATTTATCTCTCACGTCAACTGTTGCTGGTAATTCGTTTCATCATGTCTAACTGGACAAGCCGGTAATTTAGCAGGGGGAGATAAGATAATACTGTCAGGTTTAGCTTGCTTATTATCGCTGTGGTTATCTCCCCGGAGATCTCCGTAGCTAAATAGTTAAATCGTTTGGCTAGCGCTCTTGAGGTCGTGGGTTTGATTCTGGAACTTCGTCGTTCGGTTCGTGAAGGATTTCCTGCTTTTTGAGACACTCTCAGAGAAAGACAAGCTCTTGTGCAGAGAAACCTAGCTATATGGAATCAACAACCTGATGCACGGAAGACGATCCTCTCGATTGTAGACCAATTAAAACAGTAGTGGGTATCGTTCCTGATTAAGCTTGTAATGTTATCTCGCCATTCCCTTGTGCGATGCGATTGTTAGTTATTTTGAAGCCCCTCCCTAATATGGGCACGCTTTAAATGTTCCCTAACGGCTGAACGGGGTTTCCGATACCTCTCCACAGGGGATCTTAATCCGCATGGTGGCACTTTGTGTCACCGGGTGTTTATCGCTTGTGTGATGTCCTGCTGGGGTGCAACTTAACTACATACTCTTAAAACTACAGCTGCTTCTCATGAGGGGTAACTCTCAGCATCTCTGCACTCTCCCGCCTCATCTACGTTTTCAAACAGTTTTAACGTTTTCCTTTCTTTCTTTTTTTCCGAGACAAATAACTCCTTATTGTTCCCAAAGAAAAATGGCCTTTAGTATCTCCTTTCACTTTAACTTACGTAAGTCACGAAATGTTTGGTAATTGAACAGCCCGATGACGGAATGTAATTAATCTCACAGCCGCAGACCTCATACTCTCTTTTCTTATAGTCGGTGCAGAGTGGCATTGATTGTTGTGTCTATCCGCGGTCTTTTGTCCTTTCAGACGATAGTATTATATATTGCTGTTGATTGATTGGCGCCTTTCCATCTTTCCAAACGATAGTGCTGTATCGCCCTATGAGAAGGCATGGGACTCACAGCCCATGGCAATGGGGAGTGTGACCAGTTACGGCCAGGGATGAAGTTCATCCTCTCCAAAGCACACAGCCTGGGCAGTATTGTAGAGACCATATGTTGTCCATGCATCGTGATCCCTGACTCGACTGGGTTGTTTATTCCAAAGAAAAGGTAACACCAGTACGTTTGGAACAAAGCAGGCTGCAGAAGCTGCCGGATCAGAAGAGCACAACTCTACCTGTCAAAAAAGAGGACATTGGATTCACAACCAATCGCGATGGGCAGTTAACCCTACCATACAACCATGACCTACTTTAGATCTGAAGTCTGCTTTCAAAGTCTTGCCCAACTTTAAACATCTGCAACTCAGTAAATCGTTCGGTGTAAATTGTAATAATAATAATAATGTCCTTATAGAAAAATAATAATAACATAAAAAACATCTAGTTTTGTGTGTGTGTGCCTTATTTATAGTGTATAAAATATCAGACACTGGTTCAAAGCATACAGTTAGCATGTTTACGGTAAATACATTGACGCGAACTTTGCAAAATACTAAATAGCCAGCGCTTTGGAGGTAATCCTTGCGAACAACAAAGGTGCGCTGATGTTGAATAGTGAAAGTGGATACATCACCTACTGCCATGGTGCTTGTTAACTGACTACAAAAATCAATGGTTTGTGCCAGTTACTACCGTATACTAAATAGTTCCTTGTGCAGTCTAAATGACGCTTACGTTACTGGCATTGTTAACTACAATTGGTAAGGTTAGGGTACGGCAAGCTCCAGATTTAAGCCCGTACAGCTCAAACGGAAATTCCCGTTTTTGTGAGGCTGGCGTGGACGGCCGATGGTAACAATTGTTATAGAGTATATTTTAACACAAACTGAACTACGGTTTAATTAATTTCCAGCATGTGTTATTGAGTGAATTTTTATTTTGGAGATAAATAAATAGCCTATCGGAAAATATTTATCTTTATCTATCGTGATTAGGGGCAGTAGTAAAATCCTAACCTGCCGACTCCGCGGTGACTGCACTAGCCAAACGACCCGTTACCTCGGGCTCAAAGACGCTCCGTTCTCTGGATACGCGGCCAAAGGTGGCAAATAAGAGAGTAATGGCCGAATTGACAGTGACTTGCATTGTTCTTTTTATAATTAAACAGAGGGAAAGAAGAGAGGAGAGAGAGAGAGAGAGAGAGAGAGAGAGAGAGAGAGAGAGAGAGAGAGAAAGAGAGAGAGAGAGCGAGAGAGAGAGACAGAGAAACCTTTTCGAAGGTTCACAAATTGGCCTCGCAGATCCGTCTCATGTGGGTCTTTTGAAACACTTATCTTTCACACTGCTATTTTATATATCAAGCGTATTGTGTTTATATATATATATATATATATATATATATATATCAAAATTCAGAGAGAGAGAGAGAGAGAGAGAGAGAGAGAGAGAGAGAGAGAGAGAGAGAGAGAGAGAGAGAGAGGGAGAGATAAGATAGAAGAGAGAGAAAGTTATTCAGCTTTTTCCAAACTCATTACCCTATATGATTTTTATTCTTGTCTCTGCAGGGTACCCCACCAACCCACGAGCATTCCCTCACACGCTTTCCCCACCCCCTCGCCGTCGCCCCCCTGGGACCGAGGTTTGAACCAGCACCCCTTCATCGCCGTCACCCCGCCACCACCACTACCGCCATCCGCAGCCGCCACGCTGCTGACGCCCACCGCCTCACCTGCAAGCATGGCCCAGCTGGTCCACAGCTCCCCGCAGATGGTCATCCTGCCGGCGTCCTCGACCCCGGGCGGCAAGGACTCCAGGTGGCTCACCCTGGAGGTGTGTCGTGAGTTCCAGCGGAGCAAGTGCTCCCGCTCGGATACCGAGTGCAAGTTTGCTCACCCGCCCCCGCACGTGGAGATACAGAACGGCAGGGTCGTCGCATGTTTTGATTCTATAAAGGTAAGGGGGAATTGTTGTTGTCTGGTCGTGTGGTTGTTGTCGATATCTCCATCATCATCATCACCGCCATCGTGGTCATCGCTATTATCACTACCATCATCATAAGTATTACCACCATTATCGTTAATACCACCATCACAGTTGTTACTACTACTACTACTTCTGCTGCTGCTGCTATTATTACTAGTACTGCTGCTACTACTACTGTACTGCTGCTACTGCTTTTACTACTACTACTGCTGCTATTACTACTACTGCGCTGCTGCTGCTGCTGCTGCTACTACTACTACTACTACTACTACTACTACTACTACTACTACTACTACTACTACTACTACTACTACTACTACTACTACTGCTGCTGCTGCTGCTGCTGCTGCTTCACCACCACCACCACCATCGTCATCATTAATTAGTATTATTGTTATTATTATTATTATTATTAACATTTTATAATAAAAATAATTATAATCTTTGGCCCTATTGTTCATGTCGTAAAATCTCAAAGTGAGGAGTTAGATGTAGCTGTCTTTTGTCAGTTGTGTAGCTTGCCCTAATGTTATGTTTTGTTTCTGTTGTCTCTCTTTTACTCCATCCACCTATGTTTGTCTTGGTCGTCGCCTTGCACGGTAGCCTGCTGTTATCATGTAGTGCCCTCTTGCTGCTGGCTGATTTTCTTCTGGACAAACAACCGCGACTATCCGCCGGAGCTTACAGCCATGAAGCACAGAAGAAGAGGGCTCCCAAAATGGAAGTGCCACCATCTGAAAGTGTAACCAACATATTCTAGTTTGCCCAGTAATAACCGCAGTCTCCATCATCTGCCACCACGTCCTGTACCTACTCCGCCATCACCGAAGCTCACCTGCTGCGCCAAACATGTCCCACTCTACTGAAAGTCTGACACGTCCTCGAGAAATAGAAACAATTTCCCCGCTAGAGACGTAACGTCGTCTCGGTCTGTGACTGATGTTTATCTCCTACAACTTTTACAAAGTAAAACGTAAAGAGTAACGCTATTTTCTCTTTCTCACGCTTCTCTCACTTTATCCCCCCCCCCCCCCCCCCCAGTCCTCTTTTCTACTACGTGTTTAGTAAGAACTTCGGTCGTAAAATAAACGTTAATTATACTCTTGTTTTCTTTTGCACAGGCTACACACCCACACTCTCAAACACGCATATCGCTTACTGTCTCTTTTACCCATTCTCTTTCTCTCCCTCTCCCTCTCTCTCTCTCTCTCTCTCTCTCTCTCTCTCTCTCTCTCTCTCTCTCTCTCTCTCTCTCTCTCTCTCTCATCCATATGCTTTCTGACACAGTTTTTTTTCTGTCTGCTGTCTGTCTATCATCTGTCTTTCTGTCATTCACACTTGCAACTGTCACACTCATTCGCTTACTGCCTTTTTCACGCATTCTGTCTCTCTTCTCCCTCCCCTCTCCCTTCTCCCTCCCTGCTCTCTATCTTCTCCCCCTTTCTTTTTTTCCGCATACATACACTTTCTGACACAGATCATCTGTCCTTATATCTGTATTTCTCTCTCTATCTCTCTTTCTCTCTCTCTCTCATACGCAACACACATATGCACACACATACTCTCTCTCTCTCGCACACCCACACACATTTACACGCACACTGAGTTCTCTTTCCATCTGAATACTTACTCATCCCTTCCCCCATCGTATCGCAGACCCCAGTTTGTGTCATAGACAAGAGCTGACACACCGTCATTGATTACCTATGGCAGTTCAGTGACTGACATGTCAGACGTAATCGCCGGATGCCGGTGGCACTACACGAGCATGCTTTACCCGCCTGACAAACATGGCCGCCGGGTAGGTACGGCGGCGCCAGCACTCGAATATCTCCGCCAGCACTCGACCATCTCCGCCAGCACTCGATCATCTCCGCCAGTACTTCACCATATGGTGCTGATCAGTGGGAGGATTGTGTCACAAAGGATTATCCTTCCCGTACGACACTTGTAGCTGTAGTGTCACGCCTGTAACTTCCCGAACGTTGAACGGGGTTTCTTAGCTGTGCCTTGCTGGATTGCCATTCAGTGTACATTACCTAGTGTAACGATAAATTCCCTGAAAGTTTTTTGTTTTAAGTATCCAGAAACCATGAGTTATTAACCCTTTGGTTCGGTGTTATTTAAATCGCAACCCTTCGGCTTTGATCCCATGATAAATACCGTAAATCTGGGAGAAATGTGGCTTTTCTGCCTACCCCTGGGCGTAAACCCGGACCACAAGGACTTCATCACCCGGCTGCCGCGAAGTCAGGTTTAGCCAACTACGCTAGCGAGCCGGGCACTCGAAAGGTTAAACGGGCTTTTTGCGTTTTTTTTTTTTTCATGTGTAGTCTCTTTTTTTCTTGGGGGGGGGGGGGGGGGGGGGGGGGGGGGGGGATGTCTGGTGTACGCTGTTTATGTTTGTTTATTATTGTTGCATTGGTGTACTTTTTTACAACTTCAGTGGAGGGGGGGGGGGGGGGGGGGGTTGAATGGGGTATCCCGAAGTAGACGAACAACCAGAACTTCCCGCCAAAGTTTACAGCCGGTGAACGCGAAGAAGAAGAAAAAGTAGAAGTATCCTGATTTGAAACGTCTTGCTTGAACCTGTTTAACCTTGCACAGTCACGCATGTAACTAGCCTCCCCCGTTCCCCTGTTCGCTTCTCCCTTCCCCTGTCTGAAACAGTTAGCAGTTACAAACAGCAGCGGCACAGAGCGGACACAAGTTATGTTTCCTGGAGAAATAGACGCGGCAGGGCTGCCAATGGAAAAAAAAAAAAACCCCCAGCTTAGCTGAACAAAAACCCAAGCAATACAACCTCCCCCCCCCCTTCCAGATTGTAAAAAAATTTATATTTACGAAACGAAACATTTACCACTTTTATATAAGGATATATTTTAAAGATTTCCCCCAAGCGTCAAATAAAAACCCAGACCTGGGGGAAAACCCCAGCATTGGTAGCCCTGGGACGCGGGCAAAGTGAAACTGAGACAAATCGGGAATTATTTAAACTGGTAAATGAGGTCCTCGTGTGGGGTCCAGGACCCCATATGGCGGGGGTGTGAGGGGGCGGGAAGAGAATATTCTCACAGCGGGCGCCGCCCTCCTCCAAACAAACACACGCGCACGCTAAAGCCTTTTTTGTAAAAACCTACTAATTAGGGATGCTTCGGTCGAAGTCGGGAGTGCATCTGACTGAGAGTCAAGGAGCCAGCATTCTTCGTTCAAAGAAGCCAGATCTGTGAAATGGATACACGCGCAGAACCCAAGTTCTGGAAATAGATCAAAGTCCAGAAGGGGATAAACAGCCGGAGCTTTCCTCTGGAGCTTACCTTCGGTGAACATGAGGAGGAGAAGAAGAAGAAGAAGAAGAAGAAGAAGAAGAAGAAGAAGAAGTAGAAGAAGAAGATAGGTAAAAGATGAAGTTTTCCCACTTTCTTTTGTTCACCGGCTGTAAACTCTGGCGGATAGTAGCTCTGGCTGTTTGTACATTTCTGGACTTTAGTCTTGTTCTAAAGCTTGAGGTTTACGTGCACACACGTTTTACAGATCTATCTTATTCGTATGCAGACTTTGGTTCCTCACATCTCACCCAGATGCACTTCGACTTTAAGGGAAACACTTGTCAGTAGTCGACGTTTACAACATGCTAGTGTGGGTTAGTGAATCTACCCTCCCATGTCCGGCTCCCCACAAACATATCCCGGAATTCACACGGGTCAATGAGGAAGTCAAGAAGAGGAAGAAGATAGAAATACAGCAGAACCTCGCTTAACGAGCACCTCTCATAATAATTCATATAACGAGCAAAACAAATTGTAAAAAAAAAACAAATGACTTGCTTAACGAGTAACGTTTCGCATAACGAGTGGCGAGGAGAGAGGAAGTCCCGGATTGTGCGCATGTTACATCAGTCTGTGTTTAGCACTCGATCCAGTAGCATCGTAGTGTCGCTTGTGATCACACATTTTCTCAAACTTGCGTTACATTGTGATGTATGTACATGAATCCTTCAGGCCTAAAAAATGACCTCTCTGAAGAATTTAAGTTCATCAAGATCCAGTTTATGGCTCCCAACACCACTCTGTTACTCCAGCTTGTCCTGGACTGCTTCAACGCTTTCTGCCGCATGCACTTACGATTTTAACCAGCCTTGTCTCAGACGGTTACCGGTTACAAACACCAACTGCACGGAACTGACAAAGGCAGGGCTGCCAATGGGATTTTTTTTTGAAAAACCCAGCTTAGCTGAACAAAAAACCCAAGCAATACATAGCAAAATGTACAAAATTTATATTTACGAAACGAAACATTTACCACTTTTATAAACCAGGTTTTTTTTCCGGGGCGTCAAATAAAAACCCAGATCTGGGGGAAAGAAACGCAGCATTGGTAGCCACCGACAGAGGGTTAAGTCTCGGTTTCCCTGGGGAAATGGACGCAGGAAAACTGAAATTGAGGCAAATCGGGGATGATTGAAATTGCGATGGAGTCGATCCGGCGAGACAGCTGACATTTACCAGTTGTTTTGTTTCCATTCTGTGGGCCCGTTTTTATCTTATTTTAAAACTGCAGATATGCCTGCGATATGAAACCTGACAGGGATGAACTAGCTGTGTCAGTATGATTGTCCCCCCTGCCCAACCGTCTCTCAGATTCTTTTTTTTTGGCCGCCCGTTAGCAGGGCAATGTTATGTAGGTCACTATGTTGAAGTGCCTTGTGTGTGTGTGTGTGTGCGCGCGTGTGTGGATGCGCTGGCGCGTATTTGGTAGTAGAGGCTATCGTTAGATTTGGAATCTGGATGTTTTCAATGCGAGACCATTTTGCGAAATATTTCCTCTTTCTATGGCTCATTGTAATCGTGGTGTCACAGTCTTCCACACCCTACCCAAACAACATGTCGTAAATGGCAACTAATTAGGGGTTTTTCTTTGAAGTCGGAGTGTGTCTGGCTGAGAGGCGAAGAACCATCAGTCTGCATACA